TATACTGTAATGGAAGGAAAGTAGGGTTCGCAGTGAAGTGGAAGCCATCGAAAGCTGATATGGATGCTTTAAAGCTAATGAGTTGACGATGAACTTATGTACCTGAGGGCCAATTTTGAAAGTGTTCGTGGTTCAGTTGATTCTGAATCTTTCCCAGAGCCGGTCCAATGAGTTTTAATGCCCTGTGCGAGATAATAATTTTATACCCCTATACTTGTACCGTATAATAGAAAAAACATAAATAATTTTTTTAAAACAAAAATGTAATAGAAATTATAGTCAAACAATACCATACTAATACAAACCAAAACCTACAAGGCTACAAATATCACCTAAAGCAATGCCTTCGTGCATTTTTATTCTTACATGCTTCACTAATTTAAATGGGAACAATGCAACATTAAATTATAAAATAAATGCATAGATGTTCTATAGGGAGACATGATATATATTACAAAATACACATTAGTTGTGCATTGATAAGATTAAAGGAGAAATAATGTAAAGCACTTTTAAGATCTTGCAAAAGCATCGAGATAGATAGCGTGGGATAGCGGGGAATAATTAAGGTAGATAGGTTGATAGAGCTTATTCCCCGGTATAGAGAAACATGGGAGGTGAAAGGTCAGCCAGGAGTAGAGGGAGCTGTAGTACGATTAGGGTGGAGGAACATCGCTGCAGGGGTTACACCGTGTTTGTGGACAACGTCAGTAAGAGATTATACCACTCAACGTTGAGAGCAGCCTTTGAAGTCCATGGAACAATGACTGATGTGTTTGTTGCTTATAAGAGCAGGATAAGGAAACATTTGCGAATGACTTTTTCTTTTGTTCGATTCAAATCTCTGGCAGAAGCAAAGAAGACAGTTAAGGATGGTCACGATAGAGTTATTGATGGTTATTCGATTGGAGTCTTTCTAGCAGTTGACCAAAATAGTTTGGAGAAGGTGCAATCGCCAAACAGCAAACAGAAGTGAGTGATAAGGGAGGCAAAAAAAGACTCGAGATCTTTCAAAGACGCTCTGGTTGGGCCTGAACATAGAGATTGCTTGGGGACTTCCGAAGGTCAGAACGAGGGGAGTGGTGACAACTCCGAGCTGGAAGTGAGAGTGAATATCGTAGAAGCAAAGTCGCGGAGTGGAGTTATTTGGGGCGATGGATCCTCGAAGTCCATGACTCCAACCTGTTTGAAATGGTCCAAACAGTAAAACTGATGCCCCAGCCCTACATGTTGCCCTGGGCCGTCACCCATCTGGCACATGTATTGGGCCGGCCCTGATCTTTCCATTTGATTGATCCTGATGGAAATATTGGTCAAGAGCTAAGTATTTTCTTTTACCGATCAAGGTGACCTTGAGTGATGCTTTCCCATTTCAATTTTCAAGTTTACCAACCTCTGCCTATTTTTTCTTAGTTTGGCCCTTTTTTTTAGCTGTGCAAATTAACATATGCTTTTACAAATAACAATCCTTTGTATCTAATAAATGATGTATGTTTTTATAGGGCGCCGACTGTGATGTTCTTTTTTTTTACATGGAAATGAAACTAATTTGCTATATTTTTAGCACGAGGATTCAATATTTTGGATGATCTGAATGGAATCATCAATCTGTCAAGTACATGGTGTTACCATCAAAGATTCAAGACAGAGAAAGCGCATTTTAATTTCAGCAGAAAAAAAATGACTGAGGGCAAGGCTGTCCCCATTTTGGCTGATGCCCAACAATGCCATGCAAATGTCGATCTCAATATGCAAATCAAGGAAAACACTACTCAACTCTGTATCAATTATAAAGGTAAAAAGTTATTAAAAAATTTTAGGCCTAAAACTAGGAACTCAATTATAAAGATATAAAGTGATATTGAGAAACTTAAGGTCATCATTTATAAATATAAAAAAGCGAGATTAAAAAATTTAAGAGTCTCAATTATAAAGATAAAGTTAAAATTAAAAAATTAAAAGATTCAACTATAAAAGTAAAAAAAAAATATAATAAAAAATAAGGGTAAAAGATGGCGTCCTGAGTGGTTGCTCATGGTACACCCCCTCATAGCCGACCCTGACATTACATCATTTCTAGAATAATCTTTCATAGGATTACTAAGTTGATAATCCATAGTCTTCGACATGAGCTTGACAGAATCAAATCTAATAGTTGACAATTATATATACATAATTTATCAGTCTATTAATAGACATGATGACTCGAAGCCCGACACCAATCACTCTATAATTAGGTATTTATAGCCTTAAAAAAGGTTGAAAGAAAGAAACTCTATCTCTTTCATTTTTTCACCTTTGATCTATAGTAATATTCTCTCATATCACTTTTTTCCTCCTTTCTCTCAAAAATATTATCGATTAATGCAGGGATGAACTCATTGATGATGGGAGGGGCTGCAACTAGGGCTGTAAATGAGACGAGACAGATCGCGAATTATTCGAGATCGACTCGATCAAGGCTCGATAAATACTCGGATCGAATGGACTCGACTCGAGTTCTTAACGAGCCGAAACGAGATACTCGATATTCGACTCGAAAAGCTCGTGAGCAGCTCAAAAATATAATATATTAAGATTTTATTTTATTTTTAAAAATTATTAATAATATTAATATTTATGTATTTTTTTAAAAAATACAGTAAGATTTCATGTATTTAAGGTTCATGTTCGAGTCTGAGGCTTCAATCGAGTTAAGTTTAATATTTTTTTTTCATTTCGAGCCTTTTCGAGCTGTTAACGAGCTTCAGTTCAAGATTTCGAGTTTGAGTCGAGTCGAGCTTCATTTCAGAGTTTTCGAGTCGAGTCGAGCTCAGCAATACTCGAGCTCGACTCGACTCGTTTACATCCCTAGCTGTAACCCTCCAACCCCGCAGAGATTTTTTTTAAAATTTAGTATATCTATATAAAATGTAAATATTTATAAGATAATTATAAATTGACTGAGTTATTTTAAAAAAAAATATACTTTATCCTTCCTAAATTAAGATCTTGACTCTGTCCTTAAATTATTGTCTGTCTTTATATCAGTTGTAATTCTTCGCTCAAATAATAAGGACTTGTATTTCTCCGCTCAAATAAGAAGCAATTCATTTGCTCACATCAACCCTAACCTTACAATCCTCACCCACGGTTGGGTCCAATGCTTCATTAAATTATACATATTATGTCACAGCAAGTGTTTCATGCAGTAGTTGAGTATGAAACAGATAATAATATGCCAATTTACGAGCATGAGAATTTTAACAGTCCACACTTCCAGCACACGCACACCACCAATAAACAAATAAAAAAAACATCATCATCTGTTTAATTGTTTAGCCTATGGATTTGCCATATTTTCTGCTATTAAAAACAAAAATGAAAGGACGGGTACACCAAAATCTGTTTGAGAAAGAATAAATAATAAAGAAGTTGATTGAATAAAGAAAAGAGTAATATTCCAAAAGAATATATAGATTTGATAAATATTGGCATTTTTCATCATTAGAAAATCCTGCAACTTGAGATTGCAATCCATGCTCAACATTGCCGATGAACACGTAATTGAAATGTTGAAGTTTTTTTGTATAATTGTCGGGGTGGGGGCTTAAGATGGTGTTGCATTAGCTGTTATGTTGCTTTCCTTGTGTCGTTTAGCAACACACTTGGACGACGCCTGTAATTACTGTAACTGTGCACATGGAATCACTTGTTACAACTGTTCAATATACATATCTATAGAAACATATAAACTGTTTAATATTGTGGAACCTAGCAACGCCTTTAAAACACTTTAGACGTACGTACACTTTCCTTTCTCGTCACCATTTATATGTCTCCCCATGTTGTCTTCCACCTTTCACCATTCCCCATCACGAGCTTCTGTTTCTTTTTTTGTACCACTCGTGTCATTTACTTGTACATGTTAATATAATCGTTGACGTATGCATTTTGATCATTTATCTTATGAGGAAGATAGATGAGATGGAGAGAAAGGAATGCCGACCCAAGCCTAGGTCACCTCTCTCTATAAAAGGGAGAAGAAATTCCTTATATATTCTCTACCCTTCGTGTCATGTTGCAGCCTTAGATAAGTGGGGAAGAGAGAGGGGAAGAGAGAGGAGAAGATGTAAGTCGTCTGCTAGTAGATTTGCCAGGGTTATCATGAGGTTTGTCATGCTTCTATAGTTCTGGAGCATGACAAAGTGGATTTAGATGACCAATTTGTTGTCAAACCAAATGTTTGTTGGTTCCACTTGATATGATCTTGTATGTTCTTAGCGTTGGGGATACAATAGAGAAGTAAAGTTGTGCATCCTATATGGCTGTTAAATCTGCAGTCCTATTTTAGTATATTCGTTTCAGATGATAAATCCATATCTTGTTAGTCGTTCTGTGATTTAAGAATCTCGTTGAACATGAAGTGAATCAAGGGGATTTCTGGGTTTGATAGTTTCTAGTTTTTTTTTTTAATAAATGATGATTCTATATGTATTAAATGATGAGTTATGCAGAAAATCTTTGTTGAAATACTCATTCACCAAATTCAGATGTGTGATGCGAATCGATCAAGATTAATTAAAGCAAAAACTTCGAACCAAGAGGGTAACAAAAAATATATTATAATATTAAAGATTAATTTTAAGTATTAAAATCAAACTAAACAATTTATAAAAGTCTAATTAAATGTATTATTATATCATTTTTATTAACTTATATAACAATACATCATTAATTTATTATATTTTAAATCAAATAATTATTTTACAATTTTTTATAATCAAAGGATTCAGTAAAAAGGGAATTCTTTGCATTCTTTACCTTAAATTTTATCAAGTCCGTTATAGTTATGCTGATTTTTCATTTGGGTGGGGGGATTAATTTTCTGCTGTGTTGTGATTATCTCTTAATACATACATTGAGTACTCAAATGATTGATGCCTGCATAAAATTGCCGCTATAATCAACCGCAACAGTGGCAGATGTGATGCAAACAGTTCCGCGCGCCAAACTTCCAATACTCCCTAAAACCGCCCTACAAAGCACGTTAAATCACAGGTTTACAACACCCCATTGTCCCTCCAAACACAAGCCAATCCCTCCTAAATATCATAAACAGAAACGGACCCCCCCCCAAAACCAAAGACGTCACAAAATAAAACAACATGCCCCTTTTCTTTCACGACTTCACATCTTTCAATACTCCCCCCTTTCCCAGCTTCCCAACTAGATCCCTTAGCGATGGAACCTTCATCGCCAAAGTCCTATACAATCTGGAATATCGAGCTTGGGTGCCATCTGTGGTCCTAGCTAGGGCGAGTAAGCTAAGAGCCTCGGGAAGTTCGGAGAATAGTTGTTTAATTTCATCCAAGCTTATATTTTCTAAAACTGAGGGTCTTGGAACAACCCTCACAATTTCACCACCTTTGGGCTCCTGAACCTTTGCATCTGCCTTGATGACCAGTTCAGAATTCGAGTTTGCTCCACATTTGATGATAAATGGGGTTGTTGAGCCTGTGTTGAATTGTAAGACATTCCATTGTGCAACATCAGTCTCAGTACCAGATCCCATTTCTGTAGATGGCTTTTGAGCATGGTCTATCTCACGTGCCTGATCATCTTCTTCACGGATCCACTTCAGAAGTACATGGATGGATGATTAAATAGCAAGTGAGAAAAACAATTGAAGCACCAAAAACGCCACGCACAACAAAATATCAGATGTAGTGCAGCACTTCGTCAGTCAATTGTCAAAAGGACAGATAAAATTATAAAGAAATCATCTTTCCATCTACAGCACTCGTTAGTTTACTTGGTGCAAGTTGTTTTGTCAATTTTGTTTATAGCCCTATTACCAGAGTTCAGGATCTAAGAGTTCTCATTATGCAGCCAAATACACATATCGCATGTCTCATTCAGAAGAACCTACGCTGATAGGGAACACTTCAAACTTTCCGGAAACCAACAACATATGTTTTAGCCATTTTAGGATAACTATGGCACCAGGCATATCTATTTGCCCGGACTCCAAATCAACATATAGGAAAGCTATGCAAACAGAATTACCAACCAAATCCGGATAATTCCTTTGATCCCTAAGAAGGAAGCATATATTGAATAAATTTTGCAGCTATGAAAATACAAAAGAAAATTTCATACCTCAACCAGGCGTCGAGCATTGGCAATTTGCCTCTGAGCGCAGGGATGATCAATGTCAAGGAGAGAGGGCATTTGTTCCCCCAGCTCATCTAGAGATGCTAAAATTGCTTTCTTCTTACTTCTACCCATGCTACTTACAGAGGATTGCCTCGTTATATCCTGTTCAACATATGTGTAACGTTATTTTCTTTTTTTAATTCTACAGTAAATCGTCAAGTAGACAATAAGTTTGAGAAGAGGTAAAACCTTGACTTGCTTCAATATGCTATCAAGAGAAATCAGGGATGCTAAACGGGCATCTTCAGCTGCAGTAGATGGATTCTGAATGGGCGAACTGCCATTCTCCAATGTTAGCAATGCAGCATCATTTCTCATTTGTTGCAAAATCTAAGCACAAGCAAATATTTCTCTAATCTGTCAGCATCTAACTTGTGATAAAAACAAAACATTAGCAAATTTAAGTTAATAATATCCTCTTGCAAAATTCAGCTCAGGCCAATAATGTCTTAATCGCGAAGGAGATATATCAAAGAGATAAAAACTAGCACACAATAATACACTAAACAATGGAAACTGACGAATTTTAAATTTAAATGCTACAGAACAAGAGATCAAAACAGAGGAATCATTCATCTATCCAGACTTCTTACTGAACATGAAAGCAATTTCTCTTTCCATAAAAGGAAAAATATCATTGACTGAAAGGCGAAGGGGAAAGCGATATTTGAAGAGAAAGAAACCAGAAAAGTCATAATTATTTTTTTTGAGAAAAAAAAGTCATAATTATTCATCATCCAGAAGAAAGTATTTTTATTCTATCATCCATTGTCCTGACCTATCAAGCAATCTAATTTTAGTCCACAGGGAACAAGTTTTTTTATTCAGCAGATATAAGAGTTGATGACATTATGACAGAGTAAGGTCTACCTAAAAGATCATCTAACGAATCAGAGCCTTGGTCAAGAAGTCACAACAGATATGCTAAGTAATCACGACTCTCAAGATTTCTTTGTAATAAAGATGAATTTTGACTATAGATGAAGTATGGCATAAAACTAAAGCTTCCCTAGAAAGTATGATTGAACTGGTACACACTATGAATACACCAAAAATATTAACTTTGGATTAAACAACTAATCTATGCAGGCAAGCTAATTATAAGATACTTACGGAGCGAAAAAGAGGCAGGATGGTTTACCTTTCTTCGTTTGTGATCAACAGATTCAAGAGCTGAACGCAACTTTGCCACTTGAGCCACGTCATCAGCTTCTTCTGTTGCTAGGGTACCAGCAATATCCTAACAGGAAAAAAAAACATTAGGAATGTCTATTAAATCACACAAATGGTTTTATCATTCATTATATATATATAGTGGGGGAGGAGATAATAAAATTGCAGCCACCGTCCCAAAAAATATACAAGAAACACTTACAGGGCATGTAGCACCATGTATAGGCAACTAATAAAGCACGATGAGCTTTTTCTATTGTAATTCAATGTGCCTAAAGTTTGACTATAATAACTATTAAATTGTCTATTAATATGAAAACTTTCTACTTTGTCTAGAAAATGATTGTAGAGCGCTGCATCCATTCCTGAGAGTTGGGGGAATCGGAAAGAGAGAAATATGCAATCCCCAAGAAACAGTTTCTGTCAGAAAGCAACTTCTTAAAATCAAGAGCTTTGTTTGAAATTAGTTAGAAGATTTTGTAAATATCTTAGTATCCAAAATCCCTAACTTTAAGGGATTAGTTCTTTCCCTAGAATTAGTTACTTACCTAGTTTAGAAGTTTCCTAAGGTAAGTCTTCTCCTTATATATACTAGTGTAACGTTCCTATGAAGAAATATGGTGGAAGTCAATGAAACCAGCAACCCCGAGGCTACTCCAGAAGCTCCAGTGAATGAAGGGAATTACTCAAATTCAACTAGTGGCATGCAGAATATACAAGCAGCCTACAGATTAAATGGAAAAAACCTAAAGTGGTCTCAACTAGTTCATACCTTCTTAAAGGGGAGAGGAAAGTTGAGTCATCTACTCGAAACTGGACCTAAAGAAGGGGATCCTAAGTTTGATGCTTGGGATGAACAAGACTCAATGGTAATGTCTTGGTTATGGAACTCCATGGCACCAGAAATCAGTGATACATGCATGTTTCTCAACACAGCCCAAGAAATATGGGAGGCTGTTAAACAGACTTATATTCGAGATGCTGCCCGGATTTATGAAATCAAGACTAAGATTTCATCTACCAAGCATGGAATTAAATCAATCACAGAATATTCCAATATACTGCAAAGCCTTTGGAAAGAGATGAATTATACTACCAGTGCATTCAGATGAGATGCAGTGAAGATGCAACACTCCTGAAAATTTTTGTCGAAAAAGATCGAATCTATGATTTTCTTAATGGACTAAATGTTGAATTTGATGCAGTAAGAGACCAAATTCTTGGAAAAAAGGATCTTCCCTCACTATATGAAACGATTGCAATTATTCGTGCTAAAGAAGGAAGAAGAGGGGTTATGATTGAGAACAATCAAGTGGAGAGTTCAGCCTTAGTCACAAGAGTTGTAATTGAGAGGAGGCCTGGCTTGGAACAGCCTATTAATGAATATAGTAGGCAGACATAACTTACAAGGCCAATAAACAAAGACACCTTATGGTGCACCTACTACAAGAAACCTCGTCACACGAAAGAGAAGTGTTGGAAACTTCATGGGAAGCCACAAAAAACAAAAGTTTTTCAGAAAAAGGTGGACAATCAAATAGGCAAGGACAAGCGTATACAACAAAGTAACTGGCTGGAGAAGATCCTCTAGAACCTCCTATTGAATTTAACAGAGAATAAATCGAAAAACTAAAAAATCTGTTGGGGACAATGGAGAAGCCTTCTTCAACGGGTACTTGTACACTGACATTCTCAGGTATATCCTCTTCTCAAAACTCTAAAGCCTAGGATATACTCATCCAAAGTTCCTGGGTAATTGACTCATGGGCTATACACCACATGACAAACGTCTGTCACAGATTTACCACCTATACTCCCTACCCTAGTAATAAAAAAGTAACAGTAGTATATGACATTGTTAATACAGTAGCTGGTCAAGGGGATATTATTGTAAGTGAAACCCTCGCACTAAAAAATGTCCTTCATGTACCAAAACTATTTACTAATTTTCTCTCCTTCATGTACCAAAACTATTTACTAATTTTCTCTCTATCCATAAAATCACCAAAAACACTAATTATAGTGTACTCTTCTATCCTACTCGATGTATATTTCAGGAACAAGGTACGAGGAGGATGATTGGACATGCTAAAGTAATAAATGGCCTATGTTATCTTGAAGACCCTGATGGACAAGTTAGTATCCTGAATTCCTCACCCTTATCCCTTCTCTCAGAATCTAAAATCAATAAAAACCAAATATAGTTACATCGCCTCCTCCTTGATTATCTATCTTTTAGAAATCTAAAAATTATGTTTCCTTCTCAATTCAAAAGTTTAAATGTTGAAGAGTTTCATTGTGATATTTGTGATCTTGCAAAACATAAACACACATCTTTTCTAGTAAGTAATAAAAGAACCTCCAATCCTTTTACTCTTATTCATAGCGATGTTTGGGGGCTATCCACTATTCCACACATATATGGGCCTGATGGTTTGTCTCCTTTATTGATGATTGTACCCGAGTGTCTTGGATATTCCTTCTAATACAAAAATCTGATGTGAGCTCTTCCAAACCTTTTACAAGATAATTAAAACTCAATTTGGGATGAAATAAAGAGGTTTCGATCTGACAATGCCAGAGATTACTTCAATCAAGTCCTCTCACCTTATTTCTAAGAAAAATGCATCATACATGAGTCTTATTGTGTCAATACACCTCAACAGAATGGCATGACCGAGAGAGAAAATGGTCATATTCTTGCCATCACAAGGGCTCTTTTGTTCCATAAAAATGTTCCTAAACAATATTGGGGGGAGTTGTCTTAACTGCCACTTACATGATAAACAAACTACCTACAAAGGTCCTTAAGCCTCAAAGCCCTATACAAACCCTAACAAAATTCTTTCATAAATTCAATACCTCTAGTAGTCTTAAATCCAAAAATATTTGGTTGTGTTACCTTTTTATATATACATTCTCAAAATAGAGGAAAACTTTATCCAAGAGCTATAAAGTGTGTTTTTGTTGGCTACTTTTCCACTCAAAAGGGGTACAAATGTTATCATCCTCCCACCAAAAACACAATTTCTCTCTCATAATGTCACATTTGTAGAAGAAGAAAACTACTTTACTCGTCCTTATCTTCAGGGGGAGATTTCATTCAAGGAAGATAAGGACAAATATTTTTTTCCTCCTTGATTTTCTAGCAACTATTTCTGATAATCAACCAACTACACATCAATTTCCTATCAATCAGTCAACCCAACAAGCTGATCCAACCCAACCTACTTTCATCCAATCCAAGCAGACCGAGCATGTTACACCCAGACCACAGCAAGGGGTTGAGAACACTGCTCGTCCCTTACTGGTTTATTCAATGAGAAGACACCAGTGCAAGTTCAATCATCATCTTCTCCTATACAACCCAAGGTAATTGTTGAACCTAAACCTATTTCTAATCAAAATAATACCACTGAAAATTATGATCAAAGTTCTTATCAAAGGGATTTTGACTTTCCTATTGCAATTAGAAAAGGAACGAGAGCTTGCACGAAACATCCTTTTTACTTATTCATGTCCTATAGAAGCTTGTCCTATACCCACAAAGCCTTCCTTACTAGACTAAACTCCATTTTCTATTCCCAAAAATGTATCTGAGACATTAGAAGATAAGAATTGGAAGAATGCCATTCAGGTTGAGATGAAAACAAGATGTGGGACTCGGTAAAGCTACCAAAAGGTAAGAAAATAGGGGGATGTAGATGGGTATTTACAGTAAAATTCAAGTCAGATGGTTCGTTAGAGGGGTATAAAGCGAGGTTAATGGCTAAGGGGTACTCTCAAACTTATGGATTGACTATCTTGAGACATTTGCTCCTATTGTAAAGACAAACACGATGAGAGTACTGTTGTCATTAGCTACCAATCAAGGACAAAAATTACAATAGTTTGACATCAAGAACACCTTCTTACAAGGGGATCTTAAGGAGGAAGTATATATGAGTATCCCACAAGGATTTAGTTCAAATAACAGTCAGATAGTATGCAGGCTAAAAAAGGCTCTATATAGACTAAAACAGTCCCCAAGAACCTGGTTTGGGAGGTTTACTAAAGTAATGCTCAAGATGGAATATAGGCAGGGTCAAGGTGATCATACTTTGTTTGTGAAACACTCAACTTCAAGGGGAGTAAGTGCCTTACTAGTATATGTATATGACATTATAGTTACAAGAGATGATTTGGAAGGAATGGATAATTTAAAGAAGTGTTTAGTAAGAGAGTTTGAAGTCAAGGAGCTTAGCAGACTAAAATATTTCCTTGGTATTGAAGTGACACATCTCGGCAAAGGATCTTTATATCTCAGCAAATATATATCCTAGATTTGTTGACAGAGACTGGCAAATTGTGATGCAAACCAATAGAAACATCTATAGAGGTTAATCACAGGCTTGGAGATACAACAAAAGATGCAGCAGTTGATGGAAGCTCCTATTAGAGGCTCGTGAGAAAACTTATCTACTTGTCACATACCAAACTAGATATTGCCTGTGCAGTTGGTGTTGTAAGTCAATTCATGCACAACCCTAAAGAATCACATCTAAGGGTGGTGAATCAAATCCAACAGTACTTAAAAGGTACACCATGTAAAGGAATTTTGTTTAAAAAATGAAAAACTAACTCTGGAAGCATATACTAATAGAGACTATGCAGGGTCCTTAGTCGATAGGAGGTCAACCTCAAGTTACTGCACTTTCCTAGGAGCAAAAAACAAAATGTTGTGGCTAGATCCAGTGCAAAAGCTGAATTTAGGACAATGACTCTTGGAGTTTGTGAGTTGTTATGGCTTAAAATCATTTTGGAAGATTTGAAGGTCAAGTGGGAAGGTCCAATGAGGTTATATTGTGATAATAAATCTGCCATCAACATTGCACATAATTTGGTTCAACATGACAGAACGAAGCACATTGAAGCGGACAAACGTTTTTTTTTATAAAAGTAGGAGGCCTCATTAAAAACCTCCCTCATAGTAGTCCCTTTCCCGAAAGAAAGAAACAACAATTCATAAAAGAAAAACGGGACAGTGGCCTAATTTGTACTCCTTATGTATCCATTGGAGATCAACTAACAAATATACTCACCAAAGGATTACCTAGGAAGTATTTTCAGATATTAGCAAGCAAGCTGAGAATGAATGATATCCACTTCTTAGCTTGAGGGGAGTGTCAGAAAGCAACTTACTAAAATTAGGAGGACTATTTGAAATTAATTTGAAGATTCTCTAAATATCCTAGTATCTTAAATCCCTAACCTTAAGGGATTAGTTCTTTTCCTAGAATTAGTTAGTTGCCTAGTTTAGAAGTTCCCTAAAGTAAGTCTTCTCCTTGTATATATTATTGTTTCGCTCCTATGAATAAATATACAAGAATTCAGTCCATTTCAACAGTTTCTAAGAACAAAAATGATGAATAGAAATGCTAAAATACTGTCATAAGTAGAATAGATATAAAGAAAATTTATCTTCAGTGAATGAATCTTTTCGATTTAAAAGTTTCAAATATGACATCACAATATTGAAAGAGGAAGAAACAGATTTCTAGCAAATCTAAAATTCAATAACTGTCATTTTTATTAGTTTTTCTGTAAAACTGGCCCAAAAACCTGTGATGTAATGAAACATATTTTATTTGTCGTTAAAGATGGATATAGCAGGTCCACCCTCGACTGTTTATCATTATTTGTTGAATGAAAAGCTAACTGGGAAGTCTTAGAGATTTACACACTTGTGAGGTCCTGCATATTGACTCGTTGTTAAGAATTCATTATGTTAGATTGAGAATCAGATAATAGTAGATAAAAGATTTCTATAAAACAATCTCTTTTCCCCCATGAACTCTAAAAGCTGAATGATTACACCCATAAAGGGGTTATCCTTTTGACTTACAGCTAACTTAAGCCTTAAAGTAAAAGGAAATATAGGTCTCACTAGCTTACCCTCTTGGAACAACATCAAGATTCAAGAATTCTTACATGCTAAACATTGCACCCAATTCTTCCAACCAAAACAACAAAAGCAAAGAACCTGACACATGTAAACTAAAAAGGTTTCCAGAATCAACAAATGCATAGAACCAACAACACCCTTGATTCCTTTAGAACCTAAAATGAAATGGGACATGTATGGTTCTTTTGACATGATAAGTAAAGCTTTGACGTAATCACTATGATATTTCAGATTTTGGATATAACACCATCAACCAAACTTTCCTACAAAGAAGGTAATCATTTGATTGAGTAATAAAACCAAATATTTATCCAAGACTTGGAATACTCATGTCTACATTAAATAGTTATAATACGAGTTACAGAAAGATCTCTAAAGGGGTTATCCTTGAGGTATATTGCATACCTTCAAGTGCTGCAATTGAGAAGTAAAAACTCGCTTTGCATACTCCGATAAAAGTTGACCAAGAGCATCTGTATTAGGAGGGAGTGCAGCACCAAGTCCAGCCATCCAACCATCCATAATAGCAGTTGAAAGAAGCTCTAACTGACCAGTGGTTCCCCCAGATGCTTCATCCCCAGTAATAGAAAGAAACTCGAAATTTTCTGCAAGCAAGGACCTAATTTGCGGCTGCAGTTCACCAGCAGGAGTGTGGACAAAAACAGCAGCAAGAGATTTGTTTCCTAATGCAAAACTTTTGGCCTCCTCTTGTACTTCTCTTAGCTTTCCACCAGTAACCTGCTGATGTCTCAGAGTATTCTGTGCATTTAATTGTAGACTTGCTTAAGAAACAATTAACTTTGATAGTTACCATGTCACATGAAGAAACATATAAACGAGATGAATGTCTCTCATACACTAGGATTTGACACATGTAGTGACTACTGAATTTTTTTCTAAGAACAATTAACAATAAGAAGCTTCCACCAAGTAGGGGCTAGGTTCTCTACCAGCCCATGTAAACGAAAAGAAGCAAACACTTAATGGTAACACATACCTGATCAAGTCCACGGATTCTTGAAACTACCGACGACAACTTTGATTTCTTTTCTGGCTTTATATTTACTTTAAAGCCCTGGATCTTCTCATCAACATAACGCACGAGATATCTTCCAGGACTGCTACTCCGACTGGAACTTCTACTACGTGCTGAATTAGGCTTTTCTAGAAAGCACTCAACTGCGGAAACCTACAAATTGAAAGATGAAATTAGCATCCATCAAGATAAAGGTACAAGAACCTATAGACAGTTGAGAGTAAGAAACAAGCATCCAGTATATAGTTACCTTGATGGACTGAAGCTCGGGTGATCTAGCAAGCAAAGACCTTATATATAAAATTCTAACACGGGAAACAAGCATGGTATCCATTACTCTCTTTGGTTCAATTTTCCGGATAAAAGCAAAAACATCATCTCTAATTTCAGCAAGTATTTCATGCTCTCTAGAAGCACCTGCTTTAATGACAGCTGCTAGGACCTGTAACATTGTAGATAAATGCAACTGTCAAATTTTGTATATCTCCACCATTTTACCAAATATATACCAGAATTTTAACAAGTCATACAATCAATCTGCATAAATTGATGGCCATTTCAAGTGACTTAACATTGAACAATAGGAAGATTGAGATAGGATTAATCTAGCTTTTCAACGGCAAAAGAGTTTGAAGATAAAGAGTATACATGACTTCAGAAAATAGACAAATTTTTTGAACTCCTCAAAGACTATCCAGCATTTTCCAATGATAGAAGATCACTAAATAGATATAGAATTACAGAAATGTAACTTTTTCTGCTAAAAAATCTAAATACACACAAGTTAACATCACTTTTTATTTTAACAAACCCTAAATCCCAAACAAAGAAGCTTGAATAAACAAAACATTGCAAAAGAAAAGTCATAAGTTGTGTTCCTAAAGACCCCATCCAGAAAGATGAAACATTGCAAAACCACTTTATCCCTTTTACAGTGAGAACACATAATTTTAGACCTTTTTGGTGCTAAATCCTAGCTTGGCCATTTAGAGTTTAGACCAAACAATTAAACACTTCTTAAGCTTACCAGCATCAAAAGCATGTTTGCTGAAATCGCAGCAATGCTATCATATTGGTCAGGATCGAAGTCATTCAGTGCAGCAGTAAGGTATTCTCCAGCAGGTGTGGTTTTAACTTTATCTGAACTTGCTTTAACCAAAGCACCAGCACCATCAGTCTTGTCCATGGACAACTGCAAAGGGACGTCCATGGAGAAAAGAAGAAAATCATTTTCAATGAAAGAAGAAGAATTGCAGGCTAACGCACTTCAACAATATCAGAGTGATGGTGCAAAAGGCAAAATCAATGAAGAAAAGAAATGCAAACGCAAATTTTCAACTAATAATAAAACGATATTGTTTTTTGTTTTGTCTTGATTGCAGATATTCTATTTCCCAAAGTACATTCATTCCATGATCTGATCTTTCTAATTTCTTTCGTAATCATAAATACGAAGTTGAAAGATTTCAATGTAATCGATGGAAACATCAAAATTTAACTCATAAATAGAGATTATTAATTAGAGAAGAGCGAAGAAGATAACTAGCCGGTAAAAAAAAAAATTCAAGTATAAAAAACTAACGGTAAATTGATGTTAAATTAAATAAACTTTATAAATACACGTATCATTGTATTATTGGCGGAACATATAAAGAGACGCACAATTCTTACTCGTTCATGAGTTTGTATAAAATAATTTTTAATTTAAATATATTTAATTTATTAATTTAAACAAAACATTATTACGATACGTTATAAAGACTATTATCTTAATAAAATTTATTTTATTATTTTTATTTTATAATAATTAAATAAATATTATTAAATTAGCTACAGATATTTATCTGTACATAATATAAATTAAACTTTTGAAAACACGATACATATTAAGAAAAGAATGTTGAAACAATTAATAAAGGGATGTTAGATTGATAAAAAAAATTAGGAGCGGAAGACAGTTCCTTATTTAATTATTGGGTAAAATACATAAATAGTACTCCGACTATATGAAATTATTTTATTAAATCTCTTGACTATTAAAAGTTACAAAATGATCATTTGACTATAGAATGTTATTTTATTAATCTTCGACTTTTAAAAGTTATAAAATGGTCACTCAATTATTCGTTATGGTCTAAATTCGTCCATTTTCATTAAAAAATTAACAACGATCTGAGTTGGATATTACTCTACTAGTTGAGATATAATAAAATTTGATCTAAAAATATCAAACAACTATCATATTTAAGACAATAGATGTAACCCCCCAGACCCAGTCTGTAAGTTAGACTCAAACCTAAGTGGTTACATATCCCATTCAGAGATTTTTTTTTCATATATTTAAAACAACTTATAAAATATTACAAGTAATACATAACAAAATATCAATAATACAAATATATCCAAAACGATAACAAAATACATGTCACCAAACACAACCGAAAAATATATAGAGATATACGTTCGTACAAAATAAAGTAGTTGATCTCCCCTGATGCCAAATATGCTAGCTTACTTGTCTGCTGTTATCTGAAAAAGGGTAAAAACTACGGAATGAGCTAAAAATCCCAGTGTGCCCTATACAGTGTATAAAAACATATATATCAAAATAATTCAGATAAAAAACAATTTATCAAATACATTTTAATAATATTCACACTACCCCTATCCAATCACCAAAATGTGTAGGTTCACCTGAACCGTACACCACCTGTACACCAGTAAGGTTTAACATGTGCACAAAGCAGAGGAGCCTAGGAAAACTGTAAGGCTTACCCTTGCACACAGCAAAGGGACATGGGAAACTATAAGGCTTACCTTTGCACACAGCAAAGAGACCTGAGAAACTGTAAGGCTTACCTTCGCACACAGCAAAGGAACCTGACAATACTTCCTTCAATCATACTCCCAATGACAAAAATAAACATGTATGCATTGGAGTAAAAACAGTAATTAATCCATTAAATATGGAAATGTTCCATATTTAGAAATCATGTACAAAAATACTATAACTATAAACCATATCAGAAATATACGGTAAATCATACATTAAATAAACATTATTCAGAACACCGAATATTTTCTCATAAAATATGTTATATTCTCATAATATAAACCAGTTCAGATATATAGTTTAAAACTATAAGATAACACTGTCAGGAAACACACCTGTAACAGTCTGAGAAATCAGATAGGGAAGCCTACTACTGGGTCTGTCGATCACGCTTTCCTGCAGCGCTAGATCCTACGAATCGGAAAAATCCATATTTCTTAATCTTTATTTAAATAATATATGGGAACCTACGAGTAAGTCTCGTAGTACGTGGTTCGGGCTGATATGACAAACAGACAACACCAGACCTAATTGATCCCTCTCAGGTGAAACACGAGTACATTCATAAAATATTTTACTGAATCAATTCCTTAACCAAATTTCAAATAAATAATCAAAAATGCTAAAATACTAAGCCTTTTGGGTTCACAAGCTTGATTCGGGAATTTTGGGTCAGAATTTTGCAAAACAGACTTCGGAATTAGATTCAGAACATCAAAAAAACATAAAATATGACCTTTCGAAAATTTGAATTTTTGGTCAAAATCAAAGTCAACAGGTTTGGATGACGATTTGGAGACTTTCGGGTTCGAATTTGGTGAAACAGACCCCAAAAACTGATTCGAGACATCAAAAAATATCATGATAGGTATATTCGAAAAAGATTAATGGTCGTTTAATGGCCGGTCAAAGTTTTGGTCAAAGTTAGTCAACAGTTGATCAACCATTTTACAAAATTTTCACCTTTTTAAGAAATATTTACATAATATCATCCTTTTCAAAATAATTACCAAAATATCACTCTTTTTAAAAAATACGAAATTATCACTTTTAAAAAAATTACGAAAATAGCATCATTTTCAAAATAATTACTAAAATATCACCATTTTCAAAATAATTACCAAAATACCACTCGGTCAACGGGTCGGGTGAACGGGTCGGGTCAACGAGTCAGGTCGGACCGGTCAACGGTCAGGTCGAACCGATTCGGACCGGTCAAACCAATTTCAAGCATTGGCCGAGTCTTCCCCACGCGCATTGGCGGCGCGTGGGGGCGCGTGAGACCTCCTACGACGTCCTAAAAATCACGAAAAATTTTCTAAAAATTATTTTGAGTGATTTCGAGATACTTACAAAGCTCGGTTTAAATTTTTGAACGACGGAGAGCTCGATTGACCGCCTCACCTTCTCACGCGCCGCCGTCTACGGAGACCAATGATGACACCAGCGGACTCGAAACAACACAAGGAACACGATGGTGTGGGAGGTGTCGAAAACGGAACAACGATCGGCGATGAATTTAAGAATCCTTTTCAAAATAATTACCAAAATATCACTCTTTTTAAAAAATACGAAATTATCACTTTTTAAAAAATTACGAAAATAGCATCATTTTCAAAATAATTACTAAAATATAACCATTTTCAAAATAATTACCAAAATACCACTCGGTCAACGGGTCGGGTGAACGGGTCGGGTCGGGTGAACGGGTCAGGTCGGATCGGTCAACGGTCAGGTCGAACCGATTCGAACCGGTCAAACCGGTTTCAAGCATTGGCCGAGTCTTCCCCACGCGCATTGGCGGCGCGTGGGGGCGCGTGAGACCTCCTACGACGTCCTAAAAATCACGGAAAATTTTCTAAAAATTATTTTGATCGATTTCGAGATACTTACAAAGCTCAGTTCAAATTTTTGAACGACGGAGAGCTCGATTGACCGCTTCACCTTCTCACGCGCCGCCGTCTACGGAGACCAAGGATGACACTGGCGGACTCGAAACAACACAAGGAACACGATGGTGTGGGAGGTGTCGAAAACAGAACAACGATCGACGATGAATTTAAGATTTTCTCGGTGGTGGTGCTAAAAAAAATCGGGACTTTGACTTGAAATTCACGGTGTTTGGCAACATTTCACTTCAATTAATTTAAGGGGTTTGTTCCTCGCTTGATGATGAACCCGATGATGTTTTCAAAACGACGATCAGAGGTCGGACGGCGTCGGTATCGTGATTGGAAGTTGGGTGTTAGAAGGATTAAAAACTTATAAATTTTGCTTATGAACTCACCCCCACGCCTATCTATTCAGCATTTAATATAGTGTCTATCGATATTTTTTGGGTAAATTCAAGACTTAATCCCTAAATTTCTTTACTCTATAACAACCTATAAATTTTGAAAACTTTCAATTTAATCCCCAATTTTCACCAATTACACAATTAAATCCTCAAATTTCAATTAATTTTTTTTTTCAAAATTCTGAGTTGTTACAATAGATGCTCAATGTCATTTTTAAAAAAAAATATATGTCGAGTAACCTTTTTGTAACTTTTGATAGTCGAAGGATTCAACAAAACATCCTATACTCGGGGATCAGTTTGTAACTTTTAATAGTCGGAGAACTCAATAAACAATGTCATAATTGGAAGATCATTTGTTTTACTTTACCCTTAATTAATTATTTTGGCGAAAGAACTGAAAACCAGATAGATTTATTTGTTAATCATATAATAGAAAGCAATACAACTTTTATCCTATTCAATTTTCACTTAATATAATGAATAAATATGTTTATAAAAAAATAGCTAAATTTATTTGTTTTTGATACTCTAATATGAAAAGCACAACAAAACTTGGGAGAATTGCAGGACACCAGAGTAGACCACCAAACTTACAATTTGGTAATTCAGCAGCTGCACCATCCCCATCATATTGAACTTAAAACGCTACTCAAACGTTTAGCCCAAAAGCAATGCTGAAAAGAATGAAATGATACAGGCACAAAGTTCCGATATCAGAATGTTGCAATACTCAACAGTGTTTCACTCCTTTTTCGATTTTGAAATAGCTCTCTTCCTGCCCCAGCATATAACGTACATGTGAGGACTACCTGCAACGTAAATAGGCCCTTCGAATAAGCATGACCGAAGCAAGTATCAGAGATGAATACTAAAGAGGAATGCTTCGTTCACCTGGGACATAGATCCAAGGGCAAGGATTGCAGCGTAGAAGTTATCGAAGGAGAAATTCCACTTGTTCGGCATTCTTATGCAACTTTTCAGAAGCCTGAGGATACACCAGCAGTTTTATTCAATCAATAAGCGTATTCTTTTCGCCTTATATACCAATTTTATTGGAATGAAATGCTAAAACACACAAGGTGGGGGGAGTTTAAGAAAAGCGTATTGTATCGAACATCAATCCTTTGCCCTTTAAAACATTTCTAAGTGTATTTGGTCCTACAATAACAAATATCACTTGGCAACCATCAACAGGAAAATTTCACTTGTTTTATCGAATTATGTTTGATTGAAATTATAGGTGTAGAACACATAAGCGGTAAGTATTACCTTAATATAAGCAGGGCAAAATAGATCAAGCCAACTTCACTGGTGATGCCAGTTGGATACAAACAAGAATGTGCTATACCTGTTCGGAGAAACAAAATATTAGCAAAATGAACACCAAGGATTTGACAAACTCAATTAACAGAATAGAACACGTGTATTATTTACCTATGCCACAAATGCCATGAAGGTGCAAAACCAAAGGCCTCCTTCATGCCAAAGAATGAATAATCTGAGATTAAAGGGAATTTATGAAAAATTAATTTCATTGTGACATCTATGTCTACAAAAGAAATGTCCTTTGGCATCGTCAATGTAGAGAGAAACATCAGCTCTGAAGAATGACGGCATATGAGTAAAATGATAACAAGATTCAATGCTAAGTTCCAAACTATGTTATTCGGACTCAAGTGTGAATGTTGGATACAGGTATATACTTCACACAGTGGTTATGTTAAATTACTTCAATGTTTTTCCATGTATGTGAAAGGTTATTGGAACGCCAGTGTTCGAAAAGGTTACTTCCAAGGAACAAGACGGGTGATAGTTTTTAAGCACGAGATAGACACAAATGAAATGGCTTAAGAAGCAAACTATATTTAGGTTTCTTGCTTCAGCAAAGTAAAATCATGAATTCAGGACAAGCTCCCATCCAGATAGAAATAACAGTCCACAAATCATTTGACCAAACAATGAAAACAAAAGAAGATACATCCAGTAAAACCCTGCAATATAATTATACTTTAAATACTAAAGAGAAGATCTCAAACATAACAAAAGCATGATCAACTAATTGAGTAATATATTCATCAGTTCCAATTCTAGATTACCTCCATTAAAGCTTCCCGGTATTAACTACAAATTTGAAGGAAAAATGGATAAGAAAACAGCAGAATTCAGTCAATTTTACCTCTGTAATGGCCCCAGCTGATGACCAACGTAACCAGAACGTGGGTTCGAATCTACGAATCACGATAATGATTTTAACTTTTAAGTAAAAATTAAGACAAAATAAAGAACATAAGGCTGTAAATTTAATTTTTCTTCTGTTACCCTCGGAAAACTCCATAAAATTCCCCAAGTTAAATATAATCTTGATCCAATCTGGCAGAGTTGATGACACTGGTGACCTAACCAGACCTGCCAAAATTAACAAACCAAAATAAGATTCAAAATATTTTTGAATTCAAATTAGTGAATTGTCGCAAGAACTATTATAATTCGTTTCAGAAGAACAAGAGAGCACTCTGCAATCACCTTTAAACCGTGAAGAATCTGTCAGGTAAATAGAAAACAAAACTAATTAAAGTTGATACACTTGGAAAATAAAATTAAGTGAAAGCATATTGAACGGGATGAATAAAGAAGCAAGAAAACCTCCAAAACGGCGGCGGATTGAGCTAGAAGGAGAGGGTTTTCGACGGCATTATAGACATGTTCATGACCTGATTCTTTCAAAGTTTTTAAAGCCAAAAACAAAACCTGAAACCTGCAAAAAAACCACGAAATTAAAAATTTGAAGTTCGACAAACGGGAAGATTATAGGAAAGAAATAATCTCAGATGTGGAAGTTTGCCAGCCGATGAAGACCGGTCCAATTGTAGATGGAAAGGTAGCCGCCTGAGAACAGAAAAAGCGGAAGCCATGAAAACCCAATTAAGAAAACAGAGAGATTCTTTGATTTCGTAGAGAAGGATAGCTATAGGGCGCTTTTACCTGAAAATCACCCGGTACTTTTGCTTAGGTAGACCGGAATGTTGACACCACTTAGGTAGATAGAAATGTTGACACCACGCGCCAATGTGTGTTTTAAGAGGCGTGTCTTTTAGGTTTTTTTACTATGTCAATTTATATAAATATATTTGAGTGTTTAAATTATTTTTATTAATAATGTAGATAAAAATTAAAAAGGGTATTTCATAATTTTTTTTTATTTTATATCTAATGAATTTATTTATATATTATTGTTAAATTACATTACGTTAATATTTATTATTAAGGTTTATATTAATTAAGATTTGATATTATTGATATGTATTAGATACTATTGTCAATCCATCTAATTTAGAAATATCAATTTTTCTTCTAAAATTACAAGCAAGTTAGATCACCCTCACATAATCTCAGTAGGGGTCTATAGAATTACATAGTTATGATAGTCTTGTTTAAGATCAAATCATAGATGAATTTTCATTTCCCTCACATCTTAAATTATATAAACCTCACATCTTACATGCTCATGGCACTGAGCAATATATTTTTTTATATTTTTATATTAGATTCAATTAAATTATAGATCTAATTAATCATATTCAATAAATAATATTTTTATGTCAATGAAATATTTTTAATTTGTGTTACATAAATTTTTGAACTCATAATTAAAAAAATATTTAAATATATTAACATATAAAAATATCTAATCTTAATTAATAAACTTTAATAATAAAATTAACTTAATGTAATTTAATAATAGTGTATACTTAGATTCATTAGATATAGATATAAAAGGTTAAGGAATATACATTTTAGTTTTTATCTCACATTATCTAGAAACATAACATAAACACTCCAATATGTTTATATAAACTAATCTTGTTATGCTCTTCAACTCATGGAACTAATAGGTATTAAATTACGATGTTAGTCCTATAATTTGTTTTTAAATTTTTTAAAGCATATTTTTAATATGCTTTTAGGAAATTTGATGTGTTGTCCCTTGAAATGTGATTTCTCACGTGGTGTCATGTCAACATTTCTTCTGGAATGCGTGTTTCAGGGAACGTGCCTTCGGTCAACCTAAGCAAAACACATCTTATTATAAAAGGTGTTAGATCGATGTTGCGTGTTGTGAGTACTATAAAATATACGCAAATAATGTGCAAGTATACACAATCGCTCAAGTAATATAATGATGAGTGAGTATCGTCTCCACAGGGATTGGGTGAAATAACAAAAGTCTAACCAAAGCAATGCAATATTCTATCTAAGTATAGTTAGTCTTGATATACAAATGTCACGGCAATGGATGTGTATGCTGGTGGATGCGGATTGACGGTGTGATGGTGTAGCAACTGGAAATGCAGTGGCAATGATGGATGTTTAATATTGAGTATGGTGAAATGTCAAGGCAATGAGAATGGTAAAACAATAAATAAAAATATAAATAAAATAAGAAGAAATAATCCTCACGTGACAAGCTTCCAATGAAATGAATGGTAAGGATTGGTCTAAGGTTGCTAAACTTATTCTCAAGTATATTAAGCTATCTTGTCTTTACTTACTCGACAGGGCTTTCCTAAGGTGTTCAAAAGAACCTAACAGAATAGGATGCCAAGGCATCTGCTCTCACTCAACGATGTTGTACAGCCTACCCTATTGATAAAAATACCTTTTTTAGTCGTTGAAATCCTATCCTAGTCTCTTCCGAGATCTAAGGGATTAAGTTATAATATTCCTAGGCCGGTTCAAAGCCCCTTGAAAATACCATAACCCATTGCTTATGAGGATCTTATCTTGCGTTTCTTCCGAATACTTACAAGTATTTTTAGTTTAGGATTCTTCCGAATACCTATCCTTCATCTAAGATATGGACATTTCCATGCCTCTTACAAGCCTAGATGGTGAAGCATTCATAAGCAAAGCAAATAAACCAAAATAAACTTAAATATACCATTAAAATAAAGTTTAAACACCATTCAACCAACCACCACCAAATAGTTAGTTCATGGTGGGTTCGAAATATCCAAACACAAAGTCATGAAAATTCGTTCCAACAACCCCCAAAATAATATAAAAATAGCAGCAAAAAGGGAAGTGAGAAGAAGCCTTCGACGCGCCACCGGAGGTCTCATCTCGGCCACCACGAACCACCTAGCTCGCTAGCTCTTTTCGGCGCCTAGCTTGTCACTCCTTGGAGCTTTATCAATGGAGGAATATTCCAAGGAAAAAGAAAGGAAAAAGAGAAAATAAAAATCTGAATTTTTCTGCTCTATGCGTGTGCTCACTCTCCTTTTTTTTCTCCCCCATGAGGTGTCATATATAATAAATAAAATATCTAGGGGTAATGATGAGTTTGTTGGGTGCGAAATACCCCTCATACCCCTAGAATCACATTTTGTGCATGAACCTTATCCTCCAAGTGGAAGTGGTCCATTGGTAGCTCTGGCAGGCGGTTACAGCAGTCCTCCACGTGCAGGGACAGCTGTCCAGTGCCAGCTGTCCTCATGCAGAAATATCTTTTTGTCTTTTTTTGCGCCAGAAATGTCAAGGCATTTCAATCTGCTTTAGCAACGTGTGATGCCGCGACATTACTTCCCAAAGAATCCTTTTCCTTGCTATTCCCTGCACACCATAGACAAACTGCACCTTTCCCTCAAACAACATCATTAAGAAATAAAATAGCACAACCACCACAAATGCAACTATATGCAACTACATGATCCTAAAATGACTAAAATGAGCTTTTAAACAAACAATAACTTAAGTGAAAAAGGCTTTAAAAGTAGCATTTTTAGGAAGTTAACACACCCCCAAACTTAAGCTATTGCTTGTCCTCAAGCAATGGATAGCAGTTACATAAGCATAATGTCATGGCAAAGTTCGATAGTAAGACAGGAGGACAAAATTGAATTTCAACCCTCAGAACGATAGGCTTCAACATGCTAGACTTATCAGAATTCAGTACTTTTCTCTAGGTCAAAATCCTTTGTGGTAGTGTGTGTGCGTGATTGTATCCAATCTATACTTATGAATTTAGACAATTTCTAATCAAGTCCCCTAGTTTTGTCAAGGCATTTACTTATCATTAAGCACATTTTTACTCCCTTTTCTTTGATTTTTTTAAACTGTTACGAAGGGAGTCAGCTCATCACACCTACTCTCCCACACTCTAGATGAAAGGGAGCATACCTTCCATCCCCGAGCTAGTTAAGTAGAGTCATTCTGTGACTTCTTTCATTCACTCATATGCACAGGCTTCCATTTATTAAAGAAGTTCCAGAAATGCCACGGCAAAGAGAGTGTCCCTCTACAGTTATGCTTAAGCAATTATTCACAGTTTCATTTCTAAGGGAGTTTTTTTTTATTTTTCTTTTAAACACCATATATATTTCAATGCCAAGGCTAACTAAAGTTCCTTCATAAAAATTTCCTAAATTTTCTAAGTATAGAGAACATACAAATCGTGTAAATATTTTTCACCAAGCATCAAGCCCTAGAGTGAGTTCTATCATTCTCAACAGTCATTACATTCATTCTAGCCTAACAAAATTATCATCATCGGGTATCCTCAAAACATTTTATCTAACTGTCCTAACCATTTACTGATGCCATGGCATAATACTATGCTAATGCTATCATGCATATGACCTACCAAGAACAATACCTCCACAAACTTAAGGGAAGCATTGTCCTCGATGCTTTAAAGAAAACTAAACTAACTATAAACTATATTATGCAATGAAATGCAACTAATGAAAATGGATGCAAGAGATGTACCTCAATGTTTACGTGATGGTGGTGCTTTGGAGGTGCTAGCAGCTCCTCGTCGGGTGCGCTTTTGGATAGGTGCTGGGCTGGACTCGGAAGAATTGGAGTAATAGTGTGTAATGCGTCCAGCCGTGGTCTTGGTGCGGCGACCACTATGTTGTGCAGGAGAAGGATTGGGTGCTGGGACGGGGCTGGGTGTTTCTTCGACAGGGACAGTGGGCGGATATTCAGGAGTCTTGGACCGGTGTGTATCAAGTAGGGTCATCAGTAGGAGGATCAGGTGCATCGTGCTCAGGCTCTGGAGATGCCTCGGCATTGAATGCCGGCAGAATTTCGTCTGGGAATCCAGGAAAATTCCGTTGTCCGTGGGGAATGATTTCTTGAAAGAATGATTCCACCACAGCATCTCTATGCTTTACATATCCAAAGAAGTTACGGATGTCACCGTGTAAAGCATGCATTTGAGCTTGAGTCTGCGTCACAGCTTCCTCGAGAGCAAGTAACCTTGCCTCATTCGATTATGTAGCACCTACAGATTGCTCATGAACAGGGTCGTTAGACTTGGATTTTCAATTCCCAACAACAGTGGAAGTCTAGCCCTAGTGATGCCATATAATCCAGGTAAAATTTCATCAAAAGCATTTTCCTCAACCTTTTTCTACGATAAAGCGTAATTAAATTAGGAAACACCAAAGCACTTACCTTTTACCCAAACAGTCGTGAACTTGTTGAACAATGATATGACCCACATTGATCGAACGGGATACCATTATAGAATGCAAAAGCAATAAGCGTGAAAGTGATCGTAGTGTGTGGGAGGTGGGCATTAGTTTATGCTTGAGAAAGTGATTCCATAGCTTTGCGCGCGGCTGAAGACGTTCCCGGTTGACTGAGTATCTACTCGTCTGGCGACCATTCCACTCAGTGTTTTCGAAACAAAGGTCCCCAAGATCCCATGTATGTGTTGCTATCTGCTTCCTCTTCGAACTTGGCATGGTTATCCACAACACCCTGCAAATGAAAATAATGATTAATAGCAGTGGATGTAAACGGATTTGCTTACCTCGAACGAAGATGGAGTGTTGATTGGGCTTGGAAATATCGCATAGAACTCCTTAA